ATGACGATGACGATGACGATGATGAGTATTTTTATTCCGAGAAAACTCAAGGGGAGCCCCGAAACCCTCTGCGGACGCCTTGGGTCGGGTTTCCCATCTTCCAGCTGCCCCTTGAGGCGCCCTCGGCCCTGCCAATTTCGAGGTTGGGGCTTCGGGGTTTCGGGTTTAGGGCTTTAGGGTTTCGGGTTTAGGGCTCAAAGGGTTTCGGGTTTAGGGCTCAAAGGGTTTAGAAGTTTTATGTTGGGGTTCGGGACTGAGGGTTTGGGGTTTAAGGGTGGAGGGCTTCGAGATTTGGCAGCGAGGTCCAGCCCATTAGGATTCCAGAGCCTCCAGGGGCTGGTCGAGCACCCGCTTGTAGCGCGAAGACTTGGGATCCTCCCGACTTGGGCTCTTTTTTGGTTTGCGGTTTCGGGGTTAGGGTGCGGGGGAGTTTAGGATATAGGGTTCAGGGTCTAGGATGCACTCTAGGGCTTTATAGGGGCTTGCTGGGGGGACTATCTAGGAGTTGATATGGATCTCTGTATGATATTTATAGACGACTCAAGTAATATGTCACACAGCATCTCCAACACCTGCAAAGCACCGGTTTCCATCCGACGCCACATTCCTTTCTGTACAGTAGACACTGCTCAGAACTTAGTGCTCTTCTTCTGAGGCTGCAGAAGGGAAATGCGTTGCCAACAAAAAACCTCATATAGACTATTCGGGTACCTCTTGTTAATCACCGGAAAGACCCCTAAAATTCTGCAGTTGGGTTCTGCATCCGGGGTGCCATCAGCAAGCTGCTGCTAACAGTTCAAGAACCCTAAGCCCTAAACCCAAACCCTATAACGCTAAAAGCCCTAAACCCTAAAACCCTGAACCCTAAACTCTACTCTAAAATCCTAAACCCTAAAACCCTACCCCCCAAACCCTAAGCCCTGAACCCTACAACCCTAAACCCTAAAACCCTAAGCCCCAAACCATCCTCATAAATCTCCACGAACATCCTGCAGGACCCTCTAAAACCCGTTAAGGCACCTCATTTACGTTGCATGTCTCTCATGTAATCGAAGTCCTCTTCTGCCACCACAGGCTCCGGCAGCAGGGTCAAGGCGGCAATTTTGGCTGTCTGGGGCATGCCCTTCATGCAGCCGGTGTCGGCCTCACATAAAGCAACTCGGTTTAGGGTTTAGGGTTTAGGGTTCTTTCCATTGCGGCATCTGGGTTTAGGGTTGTGGGTTTTGAGTTTAAGCTTTAGGGCTTGGGTTAAGGTCAGGGCCAGGGTTCAAGGTTTGCACCGTCGAGTCAAATTTCCACAGGCATTCAGCCTATCGGTCAGGTCCCCTTCCAAAGGGTGAGCACGGCCGTGACGAGCAATCAGCTTCAGGAAATGCACACATTAAACATGGGCTGATTGGAGCTTTTACGGTTCCCTGGTCAGTCATTGTGCAATCTTCTTCATCACAAGACCCCCTTGGGTTGGCAGATCTTTCCCTTCAGATGTGCATCTCGATGAAGATCTGAGTGAATATGAGCTGTCAGATCCCGGTGATGATGACTTGGAAGCTCCTCATGTGGATTGCATTCGTCTTTTGAGCTACGTTGAAGAAAGGTAGTGTGCGCCGAAGGCTTGTCTCTGACTGGTTTGGAACGATACAGGAGAAGATTAGAATGGCCACACCCTCTTCACAGACAACCCGAACTTGAGTGACGCTCCAAGCAATCAACACACTCTTATACAAAAGGGCTCTAAATGGGACCCTAATTTAGAGAACTACCCATAGAAGGAGACCCCAAACTAACATGAGAAAAAGTGCAACAGGGTATTGCTGCTGTGGGACCGGTAAGGATGCAATACTGGGGTTCCTAAAAACCTTTCCAAACCTGAACCCTAAAGCCCTAAACCCAAAGCTCTAAGCCCTGAACCCCTCTAGCAAACCCTACAGCCCGAAGTCCTGAAGAGGCAAAGCTCGAAGCGGGGCACAAGGTCTCGAGTTAACATCGAAACTAAAAGTAAACTTGTGCAGGAGTCTAGCGTTTCGGATTCAGGCCTTAGGGATTAGGGTTTAGGGTTTAGGGTTTATAGGCCTCTATGCTGTGCTGGAGCATCTGCTGGGTAAGGTTCCCGATGGTGATCCACAGTATCTCAAACCCCAAACCCGAAACCCCAAA